AGAGAGAGACGGAGGCAGAGAGAGAGAGAGAGACAGTGGAGGGAGAGAAAGAGAGAGAGAGAGAGAGAGAGAGAGAGAGAGAGAGAGAGAGCGACATAACAGAAAGAGAGGGAAAGAGAGGGAGCGATACCGACAATCACATATAGAGATCGATGGGGGGATACTGGCAAAGAACGGGGGGGGGAAGAGAGAGAGAGAGAGAGAGAGAGAGAGAGAGAGAGAGAGCGATCGCGAGAGAGAGAGAGAGAGGCACAGAGAAAACGGGGCGCATAACCCGAGCTGGGGAGAACAACGACGATGTATGAAGAGAACGGGGGCGCTATATACGTGCGTGTCCGTATTCAGATATAGATGTATAGTTGCAATAAACGATGTATAGCAACAATGGTGTATACATAGGTCTCGTGTCTGTCTACATGTGCGTGTGCACATATTCATATATGTACATGGGCATCCGCCCAGTGTGTGCTCACGCGCGCGTTCGTCTGCCTACGTATTCGTGCTTTGTGTTGTCATGAGATGCGCGTCTGGCCCCATGTGCTAATGTCAGTGCTGCCTATCTGTGGTTATGCCTGCACGCGTATGTCTATGTCTGTTTATGTATGCTTACACCTGCTTAGATCCGAGTGTGCTTGCGTATGCCCGCGGCTGTATGGTTAGTTGTCTGCTTGCGTATGGTCACTATTGTCTATGTCGGCAGTTGTACTTATACTTGCGTATGTCTGCATGTGCTTGCACATGTCTGGATGGCGTGTGTCTGCCTGATCGTGTGTGATTGTGTCTGCATATGTCTGAGTATGTCTGCTTATGTCTGCTTATGTCTGCTTATGCCTGCGCATGCCTGCTTGTATTTGTATGCGTGTCTGGTGTTGTTTGCATGGGTGTATGCTGTCTGCCTCTATGTTTTATCTGCTTGTGTCGGCCTGTGCGTGCCTGTGTCTGCCTATGCTTGCCTGAGTCGACTGGAGGGCTCTCGCCCCCCCATCCTCTCCCCCTCCTTACCCGTCTGTCAGTGTCGGGGGGGCAGCCCTCCCGCGCTGCAGCGCGGGCGCACTTGTATCGATCAGCTCGGACACGTGGCGGCCGACGGGCGTCCAGCGCAGGGCGGGCGACGACGGCGACGACGACGACGAGGAGGCGTGCTCCCAGAACGATGGTGAGGATGCGAGGGGCGACGGACGCCTACGACGACGAAACAGGCGTGCCAGGGTCATTGGTAAGCGGTTGCGTCAGAGGGGATAACCAGATGAGCAGAGAGCCGTCCAATGGGGCCAGCGTCAGCAGGTGGACAAGGCCGAGCCCGTTAGATGGAGGAGGGAGGGGAGTATGGAATTTGAGGGAACACCCGTAAGGAGGACACGCATATGCATGGCGCATTGAGCGCATGAGACGGGCCATTGAGGGAGGCGCATTTGGGGAGTGATGGGGAGAGTTGGTCAGGAGTGGATCGGGCGAGGATGGGCGGGGAAGGGGCATGACCAGAGGGGTGAATAGTGCGAGGGGCAAGGGAGCGGTGGGAATGCAGACGGTGGGGCGGAACACCACGGTGGGGCGGAATATCCAGCTCAAGCTTATAGCAAGAGATGTGCGCAGGGATACGGGCGGGCGTATTTGAGGTGATGAGGTGCGGAGGTTAAGTAGGATACGGGTGTCTTGCTCATGCGACTGGAACTTGTTCCTCCCAGCCACGAGTAAAATTGAACGGTGCTCCCCTGCACGAACAGCAGGGGGAGCAAACAGCGTGGCGCGGCTGCGCCAGCGTGCGAACGTGCGCACGAATAGAAACATGTAAAATGCTAGCAGCCTGCAGCCAGCGGAACGCGTACTTCTTCCAGAATGGCGACTCCGTGATGTTGCTCTCTCTCTCTCTCTCTCTCTCTCTCTCTCTCTCTCTGTATGTATCTCTATCTCTTTCTGTCTCTTTCTCTATCTCTCTCTCTCTCTCTCTCTCTCTCTGGTTCTCGCTATTTCTCTCTCTCTCTCTCCCTCCTTTCCTCCCAGTGCCTTATCCCCTCCATGATTCCAGATATCCCTTAACAATCCTCAGAGTCAGGTTCGCCATGCTGCCTCGTGCGTCGGATCACTCCTGCGCATCCTCATCTTGGTCGCCCTTCTGGGCCTCGCCAGCCGCGTGGCCGCCAGCAGGGTCGGGGCCCGAGCTCTGATCGGCGTGGCCCGCGGGAAGCGTGTCGGCGTCGGCAAGGCCGTCGGGAAGGATCTCGGCAAGCGTATCGGCCAGCTCGTCATTTCCAGCATCATCACCAGGGCCCATATCCCTTCCCTCGTGCATCTTGGCCGCAACCATGTTAGCATCGCGGGCCGTGTCCAGCAGAGACTTCTTTGACTTGGACTGCCAGCTGCTCCAGCGCTGGCTGCCGTTGTACTTCACCCACACCTCCCAGCCGCCAGGCCACTTGGGCCGCTGGTCCACGCCCACCCTGTAGTCGCCGTGCCGCTCGCAGCCATTCCTCGCCTCCTTGATCGCCGCCTGCAGCTCGGTCATCTTCGCGTCGGCCTCGTCGCCGTGGGTCTCGGTGTTGGCCTTCTTGCTAGTGCCGCCGTGGGGCTCGGTGTTGGCCTTCTTGCTAGTGCCGCCGTCGCCGTGGGGCTCGGTCTTGGCCTTCTTGCTGGCGCCGCCGTCAGCGTGGGGCTCGGGCTTGGCCTTCTTGCTGGTGCCGTCGTCCGCAAGCGTCTTGGTCCTGAACCGCTTCTTGCCTTTGCCAGTCTTGCCCGAGCCCTTGCCGTCCTTGTTTTTGCCCCTGCCCATCGCGACCTTGCAAGCAGCGCCCGTGCTCTTGTCCTTCTTGGGCGCGCTCGCCTTGCCACGACCTGCAGGCTCGTCCGACCACGCAACAGTGGAGACCCACCTGTCGCCGTCCTGCCATGTGAAGCAGGTGGCCCCGTTGTCCATCTTGAACTTGCCCGTGGCGCGCGCGCCGTCCTCGGAGCGGACGCAGATGTCGCCCTTCATCACGTACTCGCCCTCGTCCTCCGCGCCCTCGTCCTCGTCATCGTTGTCCTCCTTGAAGCTGCACTCGGACTCCGAACAGGCGTCGACGGCTGCGTCCTGGGGGCGGGGGCGTGGGCGCTGGTCCACCGCCTCGTCTCCTTCATTATCCTCATCTTCCTCCTCCTCCTCTTGCTCCTCCTCCTCGTCCTCCTCCCTCCTCCTGATCCTCCTCAGCCTGCTTCGCATACCTCGTAGTCCTCTTTTCGTTGTTTCGCCTTCTCCTCCTGATTATCATCCTGGCCCTCCTCGTCATCGTCCTCACTATCGCTCCTCATGGCCCTCCTCCCCATCATGATCATCATCGTTTCAATTATCTCCCTTCCTCCCCTCCTTCGACGCCTCCCCGCTCTCATCATTATCATGCTCATCATTCCCATCATCTTGCTCACGCATCAACGGTCCTCCTCACCCTCCTCATACATCCTCCTCATCATCCTGCTTTTCAGCATCCCCATCATCCTTCTATTCGCCCTCCTCCTTCTCCCCCTCCTCCTTCTCCCCCTCCGACTTTTCACCGCTCGTCTCCTGCTCGGGCTTGACGACCTTGCGGCCGCCCTTGCCGCCCTTGCCGCCCTTGTCGACCTTGTCGACCTTGTCGACCTTCTCGCCGCCGCCTCGGAGGCCGAGGAGGAAAGACGGGGAGGGGAGGGAGCGACGGTGATACGGAGATAGGGGCGGGGAGGGGGAGGAGCGACGGGGAGGTGAGGGAGCGGGTGGTAAGACAGGGATGGCGGGAGACGTGGAACAGGCGAGGACACGCAAGACCCAGGAGTACCGCAATGGTACCGGAGGAGGACATGAATGTTGACAACCAGGATGATGAAGGAGATGAGGAGGGGAGGACGGATGCTGAAGAGCAGGATGTTGAGCAGGATCGCGGGGATAAGGAGGCATAGAAGGAAGGGGAGCGGAGAGAATCAGAACGATGATGCGCAGGTTGGGGCGGATGGCCAGGAGGAACGATCCTGAGGATGAGAACGAGAATGATCAGGAGGAGAACGAGGAGGAGCACGAGGAGGAGCAGGGTTGGGATGGTGAGGAGCAAGAGGATGAGGCGGAAAAGTCCCCGCGCAAGCCTGCTCCATCGGAGTCGAGGCTGTCGTCGAGGCTGTCCGACTCGAACAGGCTGCTCCGCATGTACTCGCGGAAGTGGCTCGTGCTAGTGTTGCCGTCTTTGGCCGTGTTCTTGTCTTTGTCCTTGCCCTTGCTCTTGCCCTCCAGCCCCATGAGCTCGGCGAGCTCCGTCGGCATGCTGTAGCCGTTCCTGGCGTGTGCTATGGTATATATATGTGTGTATACATACGAATCGGCATACCTAGACACATATATATATACATATACACAGGGAGTCGGAGATAGAGCGACACATGGACATATGCGTATGATGATGACGATGCTGATGATGATGCTGATGACGATGATGCTGACGCTGGTGATGTTGATGCTGCTGCTGATGCTGTTGATGGCGATGCTGCTGCTGAGGATGATTCTGGCGATGACGATGATGATGCTGATGATGCTGCTGATGATTATGATGATGCTGATGAGGAGGGGGCGAGCGAAAAGGAGGGGGATGCTGAAGAGCAGGGTGAGGAGGAGGATGGGGGATTGGGAGGAGGAGTGTAGAAGTGCATGATGATAAGGATGACGACGCGGACGATGAGTAATACGAGCAAGCACAGGAGGAGGTCGGAAGGGATATACTGGAGACGATGGTAAGCAGGAGTGGGAGGATGACCAGCGTAATGGAGGTTTGAGCGGGGAAGGGCTACCATCGTATGTTATTTTCCTCGTCATATCGTTACCTCTCTCTCTCTCTATCTCTCCCCGCTCTATCACTCGATGCCTACCGCCTACCGCCCATCATCGTCCTCATCCTCCCCATTATTCTCCTTGTTGCATCCCTCCCCGTTGTCCTCATATTCATCCTCATGTCTCTCATCTTGTAATCCTTCCCCTCCTACCATACTGCTCCTCATATCGTTTTGACCCGTGGAGTCCTGATGTGCCGCCTCCACCCAGCAACGAAGTCGAGGATCTTCTTGGCTTCCTCGCACACCTTCATCTGGCTGAAGCGCGGGCCGATCACCATCGCAACTGCCACCTCCCAGTCCGATAAGTCGAACTGCAGACCCACATGCACGTCCATGGCGCTCTTGAGCACCTTCCACCAGCCGCTCCCCAGGGCGTATTCGGGGAGGCCCTTGACCTTTTTGCTGCCCCCCGTGTGCCACGCCATCAGCTCGCCGCTGAGGACCATCTGCTCGGGAAGCAGCTGCAGCGCCCGCGCCAAGCCCTCGCGCGTGGGCTTGCTCATGGCCGCCTGCGGCGCGGCGCGCCAGCCCCGAGCGCGCCTGCAGGCCTGAAGGGGGCCTGGGGCCTGCAGGCGCTTGGGCCTGCAGGGGCCTGTGGTGTCCTTCTCCCTCTCCTTGTCCTGCTTCCCTCTCCTCCCTCATAGTGTTCGTCGTTTTCCTTCCCGCAGTCTTGTCTTTCATCGTCGGCGTTCGTCGTTACCTTCCTCATCATACTTAGCCTAATCGTCTTCATTCTGATTATCCCGTCGAGGTCCTGATCATCCTCATCCTCCTTCCCCTCGAGGTCCTCCTCCTCCTCCTCCTCCGAATCCTTCTCCTCCTCCTCCTCCTCCTTCCCCTTCTCATCACCATCCTCATCCTCAGATTCATCGCCCTCATCATCCTGATCATCGTAATCCTCACCATCGTCGCCGCCATCATCATGCAACTCATCATAATCGTCATCATCATCATCATCACCAGCAGCATCATCATCGTCATCACCGTAGCCAACGTCATCGTCATCGTCATAATCATCATCACAATCGTCATCATCACCACCATCGCACTCCTCATCATCATCACCATCACCATCACCATCACCACCATCATCATTACCATCATCACCATAATCATATTCCGCATCGTAATCGTCGTCGTCATCGTTATCGTCATCATCATCATCGTCATCATCGTCGTCACCATCACCAGCTTCATCGTTATCATCATCATCAGCATCACCATCATCATCATCACCATCATTAGCATCATCATCGTCATCAGCATCGTCATCATCAGCATCATCATCGTCATCGTCATCGTCATCGTCATCATCACCACCATCCTCCTCCTCATCATTGTCATCATCATCATCATCATCATCATCATCATCATTATCAGTATCTTCATCATCATCTTCATCTTCATCAGCAGCAATCACCAAGGTAAAACAAGACAAAAGAAGACAAACAAGACAAAATAAGACAAACAAGACAAAGTAAGACATAAAAAAACATCAAAACCTTCCACGCGGAAGGTGTGGAAGGTGGAGAGTCAGGGCTCCCGCCGCCGGACAGGGAGCCTTTTCTGGGTCCCTCTCCGGCAACGCAAAGGCGGGAGAGGGAGCCTTTTCAGGGTCCCTCTCCCACCGCCGGACTGGGAGCCTTTTCAGGTTCCCTGTTCGGCAACGCACGGGCGGGACAGGGAGCCTTTTCAGGTCCCCCCCTCCCGCCTTTTCCGGAAACGCATAGGCGGGAGAAGGAACCGTTTCAGGTTCCTTCTCCCGCCGCCGGACAGGGAGCCTTTTCAGGTTCCCTCTCCGGCAACGCACAGGCGGGAGAGGGAGCCTTTTCAGGGCCCCTCTCCCGCCGCCGGACAGGGAGCCTTTTCAGGTTCCCTGTCCGGCCATACAGAACTGGACACACAGGAAGCCCTCGCAGCAGGGAGGCCGCATGAGTGAAAGGCACCGTTGAACATCAGCTGCGTGATAGATGCGTGAATGAAAACCGAAACATGGCCACAAGAGCGTGGATCAAGAACGCGAACCCCTCGCCGAAGGCCAAAGGATCCATGGAGATCCCAAAACGACGAACGTCCCAACGCGGGGCGCCAAAAGGCGAAGAACATCAGGTGGGCCCAGAGGAGCTTACGCGCTCCCACTGGCAGCGCGGTGGCATCAACAGCCTTTCTCGTTTCAGAGAACCGCAGTTGTAAATACGACCTTCGGTGGAGCTTCCAAGGGGGCCACGAAACGTGTGGGGAGGGGTGCCGAAATCAATAAAGTCCCTGTCACGGGAGCAGGTCGTCGTCGTCGTCGTCGTCGTCGTCGTCGTCGTCGTCGTCGTCGACGTTGTCCTCGTCCTCGTCGTCGTCGTCGTCGTCGTCGTCGTCGTCGTCGTCGTCGTCGTCGGCGTCGGCGTCGTCGTCGTCGGTCCTCGTCGACGTGAGGGATAGAGGGAGGGAGGACGATGACGACGGCGGCGGCGACGGCGACGTCGACGACGACGCCGACGACCAGATTCTGCCGCAGACGCCGGGGCCATGTCTCCGTGCCTTTTCCGGGCCCCGGGGCCGTGCCTCCGTGCCTTTTTCGGGCCCCAGGGGTGTCAGAAACCGATTGAAACTTGAAACCAGAACGCCCCCCCCAAAAAACTAGGTTAGTGGCCCCTTACCCACAAACTCGCAGGGCGTTTTTTGTGGACGGCTGACGATGGGTTACCACCGCCGGCCCGAACGCAAGGGTTCCCCCCTGCGCCCGATTCGGCTGACGATGGGTTACCACCGCCAGCCCGGAGACAAGGGGTTACCCCTGCCCCCGATTCGGCCGAGGATGGGTTACCACCCCCGGCCCGGACGCAAGGGTTCCCCCCTGCGCCCGATTCGGCTGACGATGGGTTACCACCGCCAGCCCGGAGACAAGGGGTTACCCCTGCCCCCGATTCGGCCGAGGATGGGTTACCACCCCCGGCCCGGACGCAAGGGTTCCCCCCTGCGCCCGATTCGGCTGACGATGGGTTACCACCGCCAGCCCGGAGACAAGGGGTTACCTCTGCCCCCGATTCGGCCGAGGATGGGTTACCACCCCCGGCCCGGACGCAAGGGTTCCCCCCGGCGCCCGATTCGGCTGACGATGGGTTGCCACCGCCAGCCCGGAGACAAGGGGTTACCCTTGCCCCCGATTCAGCCGAGGATGGGTTACCACCCCCGGCCCGGACGCAAGTGGCTACCCCTGCGCCCGACTCGGCCGCCCATGGGTTACCACCGGCGGCCCGGAGACAAGGGGTTACCCCTGCCCCCGCTTCGGCCGAGGATGGGTTACCACCCCCGGCCCGGACGCAAGGGTTTCCCCCTGCGCCCGGCCGCCGTCGTCCCTGGTGACTGCGCGGCCAGTCCCATATATGGAACCATCGCCATGGGAACACACTTGCTCTCTGCTACCCCGCCTGCCATGCTACATGCTATCTACTCATGCTGGCGTCCGGCGGGGTTCGGCGTTAAAACTGTTAAACGCTATTGGGGGCCATTGCAATGTACATATAAACCAATATAGTTACTGGGCCGGCCACAGACAGAGAAAGAGAGATCACGACAGAGACGGCGACGACAAAGCGCGGTTATCTTCGCCAATGCGTGTCCTTGCACGCTGTCTGGGTCTTGTCGCGCCGGCGGGTGTCTTTGACAGAGCGGCAGGTGTCTCTGGCAGGTGTCCCTGGCAGAGCGCCTTTAGGGACGAGCTCTCTTGGGGGCCATTGCAAGGTGAATATAAACTAGTAGAGTTAATGGGCTGGCCACAGACAGAGAAAAAGAGATCACGACAGAGACGGCGACGACAAAGCGCGGTTATCTTCGCCAATGCGTGTCCTTGCACGCTGTCTGGGTCTTGTCGCGCCGGCGGGTGTCTTTGACAGAGCGGCAGGTGTCTCTGGCAGGTGTCTGTGGCAGAGCGCCTCGGGGCTCGGAGGGAGGGCTGGCCGCAGCTCCGAAGAATATGCTGGGACGCATGCGAACGCAACCACTGGGGCCCCTTCGGTGGTGCTCCCTATGGGGCCACGAAACGTGTTAGGGGTGGGCCGAAATGGGCGAGGGGCGGCATGCCAACTCTGCCACTGGGGCCTTCGGTGGAGCTCATTATGGGGCCACGAAACGTATCAAGGGTGTGTCGACATGGGTGGCGCGGACGCATGCGAACCCTGCCACTGGGGCCGTCGGTGGAACTCCCAATGGGGCCACTAATCGTGTGAGGGGTGTGCCAAAGTAGGTGGGGGCGGCATGCGAACCCTGCCACGGGGGCCTCCGGTAGAGCACCCTATGGGGCCACGAAGTGCGTGAGGGGTGTGCCAAAGTTGGGTGGGGGCGGCATGCAAACCCTGCCACTGGGGCCGTCGGTGGAGCTCCCTGTGGGGCCACGAAACGTGTGAGGGGTGTGCCAAAGTGAGATGGGGGCGGCATGCGAACCCTGCCACTGGGGCCTTCGGTGGAGCTCCCTATGAGGCCACGAAACGTGTGAGGGGTGTGCCAAAGTGGGGCGGGGGCGGCATGCGAACCCTGCCACTGGGGCCTTCGGTGGAGCTACCTATGGGGCCACGAAACGCGTGAGGGTGTGCCAAAGTGGGTGGGGGCGGCATGCGAACCCTGCCACTGGGGCCTTCGGTGGAGCTACCTATGGGGCCACGAAATGCGTGAGGGGTGTGCCAAAGTGGGGTGGGGGCGGCATGCGAACCCTGCCACTGGGGCCGTCGGTGGAGCTCCCTGTGGGGCCACGAAACGTGTGAGGGGTGTGCCAAAGTGAGGTGGGGGCGGCATGCGAACCCTGCCACTGGGGCCTTCGGTGGAGCTACCTATGGGGCCACGAAGCGTGTGAGGGGTGTGCCAAAGTGGGGCGGGGGCGGCATGCGAACCCTGCCACTGGGGCCTTCGGTAAAGCATCCTATGGGGCCACGAAACGTGTGAGGGGTGTGCCAAAGTGGGGTGGGGGCGGCATGCGAACCCTGCCGCTGGGGCCTTCGGTGGAGCTCCCTATGGGGCCACGAATCGTGTGAGGGGTGTGCGGAAATGGGAACGAATGGCGATGGCGATGATGATGATGATGATGATGATGAGGATGACGATGATGATGCTGGTGGTGATGACGATGATGATGCTGGTGGTGATGATGACAGGATGGTTGGGAACTAATGGCGATGGCGATGATGATGACGATGCTGATGCTGGTGGTGATGATGACGAGGATGATGATGATGATGAAGATGAGGATGATGATGATGATGACGATGAGTATGATGACGGCGATGGGAGGAGGGAGGAGGGGGGAGAGGAGGAGGAGGAGAGGAGAGGAGAGGAGAGGATACGCGGGGCGCTGTCTCTTCAAAACTAGGACCCAACACCACAGGATGGTTGGGAAAACACAAATCGCGAGGACCCCATTGAAAAAACGGAACGGACCCTAAGGACCCTAAGGAAGGTACGGAAAGGACCCTAAGGGCCCTAAGGACCCTAAGGCAAGTGAATGATTCTAATGACCCTAGGGAAGGTTCGGACATGACCCTAAGGCCCTAAGGAGCCGAAGGGCCCTAGGGACCTTAGCCATTTTGGCTCCAGCATCCCGCGCTCAGCTCAGCATAGCCTTTCGTCCTGACTCTCACCTGCAACCAACGTGCTTCGAACCAGATTCAATAGAGACCACAGACATGACGGAACAATCACAAGTACCTCATAAACATCTGAGCGAGCCTCAGTCGCCGCCATCCGCCAAGCGGCAGCGCATCTCTGGCAAGCGCACCGATGACGAGAAACATTACGATGCTCTCTACGGACATCGCGATAACATTCGGTTGCGTTTCCCTGGGATCTCTGGATTGCGGCTCTTGAACAAGGTGAACCTTTGGTATCGCGTGAGGAAAGACACAGTGTTACCTTTGTTCCACGCAGTGGACAAATCAAAACAGTGGGTTCTGTTCGAAGGCAAGCACCGTGATCAAGAAGCCGTAGAGGGAGACTATACACTGCAAGTCCTCAGCTTGGGAAACGTTCCAGGAGTTCGTGGAAAACCGCATGCGATCCCTAGTCCAGATGGAGATGCAGAATCAGATGGCACCTTACCTTATCGCATGCTCACCTTCGGCACGGTCGCGCGTGCAATATACAACGCAACAGACGAGGGGGCCGGAGAACGAGCAGGTGATTGCCACAGTACAACAGGGCTTGCGTACTGCGCAAGTCTACAGCGCCCGCACCCCCAAGGACGCGCGCGATTTCCTGATAAACTTCCACAGCGAGTTCCACAAGGGCAGCGGCTACACCTTGATCCAGTATTGCAGCCATACGGACACGAGCGCGGCGCGATGGAAATCGCGCGCGCACTCCAAGGGACTGGACGTATCAAACCAGTCGGATAGGCAGAAATGGTTGCAGGAGAACTACCTGGACAAATAACCGAGCCCCAGCGTCTTCAATGAGGCGAAAGCCGGCCTCAACGCTCTCGGGCGCCTCAAGATGAGACACGCGTTCATGGCGCTGTTCGGATCGGTCTGTGACTTCCTCAAATATCAGTTTGGCGTGATGGCAGTGCACAAGATTGCTGTTATCCTGGAGACCAAGTGCAAGGGCGCGATGGACGAGTCCACGCTGAGGACCGTCGGGGCGGATGGCGAAGCTCATGGCCCCGACGGTGACGCGCCCGAGCTTCGACAGCAAAGACGACTCCGCCAACAAGGTGGTTTCCAAGAACAAGGCATTTCCCCACGCGTTCGTCAGCTCTCGGGAAGCGCCCTTGATCCTCAACACTCGCGAGCTCGTGGAGGAGGGACCAGGGATCGAATGTTTCATAGGCTCAGTCTGCCGACCTGCCGACCCATTCAAGAGGGCAGAACTCAAGAGGACGAGCAGGAAGTGAGGAGGGGAGTAAGGGGAAGGCGGAGGAGTGAGGAAGCGGGGTGGAGGGACTCTGATGGACCCTGATGCTCCTGAGGGACCCCGAGGAGCCTGAGGAGGGGCACTGTCGCGTTTAGCAATTTGGGGGGCCCCCGGAACCCAGGGGAAGATCAAATTTTTGACTGCGAAGATGGAGGGCTCCACCACCCAGAGACAGCTGGAGAACAACCTCAAGAAAACGCCGAAGAAGCTCAAGGCCAACAGCACCATCACCAAGGAGGCCGTTGCCAACATCCTGTTCCTCAATCTCTTCAGACCTCCCCCTATCACCTCTCGCCTCCCACGTCCTCCAGGCATCTCCTCCTCCGAGGTCCCCCCCTCGTCCTCGGCTCCTTCTCCTCCGAGGTCCTTTCCTCCACCTTGGCTCTTCCTCCTCTTCCTCATCCTCCGAGGCCCTCTCCTCGTCGTCGGCTTCTCCTCCTCCGAGGTCCTCTCCTCCTCCTTGCCTCTTCCTCCTCCTCCTCCGAGGTCCTCTTGTTTCGTGCCTCGGCTGCATCGCCCGTCTTCCGGCTCGGCCGGCCCAGGCCAAGGGGCCCGCTGAACTGATCATCAAGCTGGGGCCCGCCGACGCGGGGAGCAAAACCAAGTGCAAGATTCGGGGGAAGTCCTGGCTGGGCGATGTCATCGCCTGCTCGAGCTGGGCCCGCTCGCAGCTTCCAGCGGAGCCGCCAGAAACAGATTGGACGCAGCGCAAAGGATTTGCGATCTCGATGGCTCTCGAGTTCTGCTTCTGCGGCAAGCTGGGGATCGGAACCGAAACTTTCTGCCAGTGGCCCCTGCTGCGGCCAAAGCTGCAGGACAGCGTCAAGCAGATCATGTCTACGAGGTGCTCGCCATCATCTTCAGATGCTGCATCGCATATTCAGGATCGCCTCATGGACGCCCTGACCGACACGCCGCCGCCCTTGACACGCCCCCTTCCCCGTGCAAGAGCACCGTTGACAACGGACGGGGACCAAGGAGTCGCGCGTCAAGCACTACGTGAACGATGAGGGCCCGCTGAAAAATATCCGCGCGATTGTTGATGGTGAGGCACACGTGGACAAGCCGCTCCGAACGCAGGCGCCCCTGTTTCAACTTCGGAGATCGGTCCTGAACGCGCTGATGACGCTGAGGCACAACATTCGCAACTGCTGCGGCTGCAAAGCTCGAGGAGGTTTTCCCTGATGACTGGTGGGTGCGCATGGCCGCCCCCGTGGACTGCGTGGACTCTGGCAAGCTTCCAGAGTGGATCAATAACGTGATGAATCTGGCCAACAGTTCACACCCTCAACGACATGATCACTGATGACGACATCTCCATTCTGGATGGGCATGAGTCGGCTCTGTCCAAGCTGATCAAGGCCATCGAGCGCCCAGATCCATCCAAGAGCGGCGTGCAAGACGCATTCAACACCATGAGCAGAACCGAAGCGCGCATGCAAGTCACGGGAGGGATGCACAGCCACCTCTTGGTTTCCGCGCTGCGCGCTGGCCTCTCCGGGGACAGCGCGCCCGACGAGCTGGGCAACTTCAAGGCGCAGATGCTGAGGGATCACGGCGCGACTGCGACCACTGGCGAGGAGCGATGATGTGAAGCAAATCGGATGCTGGACATTGGGGCTGGCGCTCAGAGCAGGCGGGATTATTTTCATAGTCCTGCCGTCTTTGAGCGCCAGACGCCAAGTCTGGTCTGTTTTGCGGCCCGTTCAGGCCCTCGCGAACGCAGATGGCGCCCAAGGCACTTGCGCTGGGCAGGAAGGTCCACGTGAACCCCTGGGTCGTCATGGCCGACGTCGCGTCATTCAACGACTACGAGAAGCCCGACCTGATCAGTATGAAGCCGAACTCTTGGACGCCGCTCGCAGACCCAGACCCCGTCGCACTCTTCATTGAGACCTTGCCCAGTTACACCGTGAACCTGCGTGACGAGAATACGAGGAACAGGTTCAACATGGACTGCGTCTTCTGGCTCATGAGCTTCATCGAGTTCAAGCTCGAGGAGGAGCGCGCCGACATCAAGGAGCAGTCGGCCAACGTCGTCGTCAATACGTTCGAGAGGAGAATTGTGCCCGCCGACTCTAGCACCACGCCGGACGCAGCCAAGGCGAAGGCAAAAGCAAAAGCCAAGGCTTCGGCTAGGCCCGCCGACGCCGCCGACGCTGCATCCAACGTGGCCTGTACCTTGGAGAAACACCGCTTCCAGGATTGCAAGCTTCCGTTCTCAGGCAAGATCACCTGCCGCAGGACTCCTTTATGCACGCAGATTGGGAAGCTCATCGTCGTCACTACTGATGAGTTCGACGAGTCGGAGTTGGCGAACTGCGAGGGCACGAAGATATATACCAAGTTGTCATCGACAACGGCCTTCTGGATGACCGTGCCGGCGCAGGCGCCATGGCCTGCTAAGCCAGATTGACAGGAACCTCGCCAGAGTGCACGACGAAGTTACCAGGGTGCCTCTCCTGCAGGAGGAGGTCGTCCAGCGTGCACGCCCAGCGGAAGATGGCGTCGCCCACTGCTCGCGCCGCCTTTGCGCCCTTCGGCAAGAACAGCCTGCGCTGGAGCACGTCAGCAGGCCGGACTGGTGGCCGGCCGGGCACGTTAGCGCACTCCCACGCGATGTGGTCCAGTGTTCCGTGTGGCGCACCGCGCCAGGGGCACTTTTGCAGACCGGGGCCCCTCCTGGCGATCGCAATGCACATGGGCGAGACGACGGCGCCTGCCAACACCCTCATCGCCTTCCCTGGGTTCTCGTCGTAGCACCGGGCCACAGCCTTGACCCTAACGGGGTTGTAGCCGATGCCGCTCTGCCTGATGATGGCCGCGTCGCGGCGCTTGGAGTTGATGAAGCTGTCGTACTGGGCACGGCGCCAGGCTTCGCGCAACGCGTGCCCCAGCGCCCTGGGTGGCCTCCATTCCCGGCTGGTGTGGTCCAGCGTGATGAGAATATTTTCCAAGCCTGAATGCTGCCAGGTCCACCGGGCGGCGGTGGGTCTCCATCCCGTCCATTTGAGGTGGCTGCTTACCTCGGCGGCGAAGCTTCCCTTCTGCGTCCAGGGCAGCACCCAGGCGAAGTCGCTGAGGGTGTGGGCCCGCTTGGATACGACCCTGGCCAGTGCCATGATCGCGTCCTGCTGTGCGCGGAACCGGGGGTCAGCTCTGCGCCCCCAGGCCAGTCGACGTAGAGGCGGCGCACTCTGTCGAGGAGGCCGCAACGCCATTGCCACGCCTTGTCGGAGCCGGTCCGCCGCTCCGCTCGGCATAGGCTGCTCGACCCATCCGAAGGCCGCCTTGGAGACGGGCCCTGCGGCACAGATCTCTCTCTTTTCCTTCCGTTGGTGCGGGAGCTGGCGCGCCCTGGCAAGCTGCGCCTCTGCTGTTCTGAGCCGCCTGGTCTCCTTCTTAGAGAGCTTCCTGCTGCGCCCTCCAGTGATCTTGACCCCCAGCGCGTCGATTGCGTCGCGGATGCTGGCCGGGTCAATTCCTGCCTCTGCAAGTTGCCGCCTTTGGCGAGGACGCCAGTGCAGCCGCTGTTTTTTCTTCTCGTTTTCCTTCAAGCCCAGCGTCTCTGACCACTTGGTCCAGTAGTCCGCGGCGCGGAGCATGGTGATGATGCTGGGGCTCTCCCAGGTGCGGTCGTCGATGTACAACTGCACGTGGATGTCCTCGCAGTAGTGCTTGATCTGCTTGAGCGGCGCAAGCAGCATTGCGCAGAGGGCCATTGGCGACCAGGGGCCCCCCTGGGGGAGGCTACTGCTGACCCTCTGTGGTTCCTGCAGGGCGCAGCCCGCGAGCTGCAACCACCGGCGCTGATCTCCCCACGTGCTCATCAGCATGCTGCCAATGTTCGAAGGGAGGCCCAGCTCAGACAGCACGTGGCCGGCGATGGCGGGGTCCGCCATATCGAAAGCGAGGCTGTAGTCCCAGGTGACGTACATGTCCATGTTCGCCGCCACTATCGCGGACGAACTGGCCTGGTGCGACTCGAACCCCTTCTTCGCACTGACCATGTCCATATCCCACCAGGTTTCTTGCCACCTGCGGCTGGCCTCTGAGCGTGCCCTGGAGGTCGCCCAAAGCCTGTGCCAGGCGCTCGCCACGCAGATGGGCCGATAGTCCTCGGCGCGCAGCGCGTTGCTGCCTCCCTCGGGCACAGCCTTTGGCAGATGAGCCTGCCGGTACTGCTTCCACCCGTCTGGCACGCAGGCGGCCTGTTCCATCTCGTTGAGCAGGTTGGCGATGGCCTCGCTTGCGAACATGGCGTCCACGAGCTCGTCTCCAGTCCAGCCGTCTGGCCCGGCGCTGGAGCCCGCCTGCCTGCGCAGCCCTTCTCTCACTTCTTGCTCGCTGAGCTTGGGCCACTGTTGCTCCGGGAGCGTCGGCAGCCATTGGCCTAGCTTTCCCCGCCACCTGTGTGCAGGCGGTTTTTCTCGGTCCCACACCTTCCTCCACCTTCTGCGGAGCATGCCCAGCGCCTCGTTGGTGTCCTGCGCCGTTGTCTCGCCTTCCTTCACCATGACGTCTTTTGGTGTGAAATCCTTGAGCCATTCGTGAGCTTTCCTCTGCGTGCTCTGGACCCGGGAGCGCCAGTCCTCGAGCCGCTTCTCCCGCCGTTCCTCGGTGAGCGTCCTGAGCCTCACCTCTGCGTCGTCTATCAGCCGTGCGACAGCCTGCTGGCAGGCTAGCGCGCTGAGGGATCCCATCTGGTCAAAGTCCTTGCGCGGCAGAGTCCTGTCCGGTTTCGCACGGAGCGCGCGGGCCTCCTCGCCCCTGCCGCGGCCAAAGCGTTGGCCTGCTTCCTCTCTTGGAACCCAGAGGGTCCAAAGATCAGCAACACAGATCGGGAAATTACCAGATCAACAACACAGATCTGGCATGATCGCACGATCTGCGTTGTTGAACTTAATTAGTTGTTGACATGCCCGTAGCGTCGTTCACGACGTCGGGGCGTTGGTTGTAGCGGCTGGGCGCGCCGTGGTCGGGTTTGGTCGGTTGGGTGTCGGTGCGCCGTCGATCCGTCACGGCGCCGCAACTTAAATCGATTGGGGCGGGGAATGCGATGGCGCGGTCGCGTTGTCGCGGCGGTCACGCAGCGTCAACTTGATGCCCCAACCCCCCAAGGCCCCCACCCACCCCCCAAACACAAAACAGAAGTACAGGCGCACCCAAGACGTCCAGCAGCCTCCAGCAAGGGCCCGCGCAGGTCCCAAACGCACGAGATTTCCCTCGCAGGCCAGCCGTGCTTCCCGCGAAGCGGTGTTATATATCTATCTGGCCGCGCTCACCGCGAAGCGTGATAGATAAATACAGGCACGTTTCCCTCGGGCGGCGGGGCGAGCGCTCCAGGGTCGGCGGCCGTCTGCCACTGCAGGCGAGCGCTGCGAAGAGGAAGGGAGGAGGTGGAGGGGGAGCGGGGGAAGAGGAGGAGGAGGAGGAGGAGGAGGAGGCGAAAGAGGAGGAGGAGGCAGAGGAGAGGAGGAGGAGGGGGAGGGGGAGGAGGAGGGAGGAGGAGGACGACGACGACGAGGAATGGGCTGATGACGATGAGGGGGAAGTGGAATTAAGAGGAGGGGGGGGAGGAGCAAAGGGAGGAGGGGGAGGACAGGAGGAGGCAGAGGGGGGAGGCGAGGAGGAGGGGGGGGGAGGAGGGGGGGGGGGGAGGGAAGCGAAGGAGAGGGCGAGAAATGAGGAGGTGAGGAGGAGGAGGAGGACAGGATGAGGAGGAGGGGCGGGGGGGAGGGGTGAAGGGGGGCGAGGTTGAGGAGAGAGAGAAGAGGAGAGAGAGAGAGAGAGGAGAGAGAGAGAGAGGAGGAGAGAGAGAGAGGAGAGAGAGAGAGAGAGAGAGAGAGAGAGGGCAGGCAGAGTCAGGCCCTGGCCCTCAGTTGGTGATGTCCGCCGTCTCCTGCCCCACCGGGTCCAAGGGCGTTTCCTCGGAGGTCGTTGTTTATCCTTTCTCCCTCCTCCTCCTCCCTTCCTCCTCCTCCCCCTCCTCCTCCTCCTCCTCCTTCTCCTCCTTCCTCTCTCTCTCGTCGTCGTCGTCCTCCTCCCTCCTCCTCCTCCACCTCCTCCTCCGCCTCCTCCCTCCCCCTGCCCCTCCTCACCCCCCTCCTCCTCCACTCTCCCTCCCAATTCTCTTGTCTTCATCGTGCTGCCCTTCTTCGTGCTGCCCTTCTCCCCGCGCTCTCGTTCTCGTGAGCCTCCTCGACCTCGTCATCCTCCTTGTCCTCCTCCTCCTCCTCCTCCTCCTCCTCCCTCTCGGTTTGTTCCCAGATCCCCCTCCACCTCGAGAGTGGTTCCGCCTGTGCCCTGCGCATTGTTTTATCGTTCCTGATTCTGGGGGATCGCGTGTATAGATCAGCCCCAGGGTCTTCTGGGTCCAAAGTGAACGTGTCAGGCATGCACGGGGGGAAACTCACGTCCGTCAGCACGCGCGGGGCAGAGGCTGGGGGGTCACGATCGAGCTGCGTTCTGCAGTAATCCAATGCCCCCCAGATGGAACACCTCCCTCCTCACAATCATATGGCTGGTCATCCACTGCTGGATCTCCAGGGAGTTGCAGCGAGCCTTGAGATCCCTGATGTCTGCGCTCACATCCGAGAGCTCTGAGATGGTTCTCTTCAGCATCTCGGTTGCCTATCGTCGTGATCGTCATCCTCTTCCTCCCTCCTCGTCCTCCTCCTCGTCCTCATCCTCGTCGTCCTCCTCCTCCTCCTCTGCGTCCTCCTCCACTCCTCCTCCTCCGCCGCCTCCTCATACTCATCCCTCCCCCCCTTTTCCCCCGTACTTCGACACTCTTCCTCCGAGCCTGCTTCATCTGAATCTCGGCCTTGCAGAAGTTGTCGAGAATCGCCAGCACGCTGCTGTGCATAAGCCAAGCCGGAATGCCCTGAGGAGCGTTGCCCTTGCCCTTATCCTTGCCCGAGCCCTTGGGGTCCACGCCCTTGTCCTTGCCCGAGCCCTTCGGGCCCGCGCCCTGGTCCTTGCCCGAGCCCTTCGGGTCCACGCCCTGGTCCACGCCCCAGTTCCTGCCAGAGCCCCTGGGGTCCGAGCCGTTGCCGGTGTTCTCCTTGATCGCACTCGCAGCTTCCTCAGACCGTCTGTCGCGGGGAGACCTGGAACGATCCTGGCTCGCGCCCTCGGCCTCCATCGAAGCTAACCTGACCATGGCCAATCGTGGTCGTCGGGTTCCGTGGCCGAGATGGGCTCGAGCCAGGGTTGCTATCCCCTGCGCCCGTCGGCCCCATCGATTTTTCTGACCTCTGCCCTGGGCCCCCAAGGCCGCCAGGCCGTCTCCCCCCTCTCTTTGGGGCCAAGAACCACGTGAGGGGTGTGCCGAAAGACCTCCCATTCCCCGCGGTCGTGCCTCTTCTTTCTCCTTCAGCCTCTTTCCCCTGCTATTTCCTCGCCCCCCCCCCCTCCCCCCGCCAAGGCCCCCCTCGATTTCCTGAAACGCTCCTCTGAGAGCGCAGTGGGAACGCTGGGGCCTGAACATCCGAGGGCCGTGACCCCGCCCCCGCGGGCGCCGCGCTTTGGGCCCCAGCGCTGCCAGATCAAGCCTGGAATCCCGCGCGGGCATTCGCGGGGGGTCGGGCCCAGCCAAATCCAACGCAAAATCCAATGCATTGGAAAATGCGTTGGAGTTTGAAGGTTGCGCTGGTTTCGCTGGGCCCGACTCCTCGCAAGACGCGCGTGGGGTTCCAAGTTTTTTTTGTTTTGCCGACTGGGCGGAGACGCGGCGCTCCCCGCGGCCAACATCCACGTGTCAAATGCCGCCGAGCCCACGGCGTCCGGTGGGAACACGCGGGAAGTGGCATGTATGCATGCATGCAAGAGCGCAGAGCTTTGATTGTGCATCGCATGACTCATGTTTGATGTCTCTCTCACTGTTGCCTTCCCCCCCCCCCCCCTCCACCTCGCATCCCCCATCAATCTCAAGCTCAGAGGCGCGTGGCCTCAACCTGATCGCGCGGCAATGCTGTCATTACCACGGAGGCAAGAGCTTCTGCAAACTCCACGGGGTACGCCGACGAACTCTTCTGGCGGGCCCCGTTCTTGACAGTCCCTGACACCCAGCCTTTCTTAGACCAGCCGTAAAAATTATCCTGCCCCTTCTGAGCAGTGGCTTTCTTGCCCTTGGAAACCTCACGGGCAGCGGCTGCTTTCTTGCTACTTGAAACTTTATGGGCAAGGCGGGTTTTCTTGCCAGAGCTCTTGCGGGGAATGGGCTTACAGAGCTCTTTGTAGTTCGGGCCGAGACGCTGAAAAGCAAGCTGCCTGGCTCGCACAAGCGAGAGAAATTGAGACGGAAAAAATGTGCACCATACCTCAATCGGTTTCACGGTGGCCGCGCCGAAGGCCCCGAGGTTGGTGACGAACCTCCGAGCGTTCACCAGGTCAAACGCCTGAATGATCTCCGCGGTGCGGTAGATGGTTGAGTTCAGGGGCTGCTCAACGAACGTCCGCACGGAACGCATGCTGCAGAATGTGAGCATGACCGACCTGGGGGCATTTTGTTCTTTCCAATCCCTCTTCATCCTCTTGTTCCTCCTCCTCCTCCTCCTCCTGCTTTTCTTCAGCCACAACCTCTTTCTCCTCCTCATCCTGCTCATCTTCCTCCTCCTCCCTTCTCCTCCTCCTCGTCCTCCTCCTTCTCCCCCTCCCCCTCCTCCTCCTCATCCTCCTCCTCCTCGTCCTCGTCCTCCTCAGTCACCCGCCCCCCCCCCCCCGCCCTTCCAGCCGCGCTTCCGTCGCTCCTGGGTCAAGGTCCCCCCCCTCTTCAAAGCTCGATGGCCTCGGGCTGTCTGATCCTCGCGAGAGCTGCTCCACTGGTTGCCTCGGGGAATCCCTGGGGCCCCCTTGGAGCCGGGGGCGCGGGCGGGGGTGGGGGGGGGGGGCACCTTAACCCAGGGGCGTCTTCAGTGACCCAGGGCATCCAAGAAGGAGCAGATGGGGAGGAGGAAGAGGAGGTGGATGAGGAGGGGTAATGAGGAGGAGCAGGAGGAGGGGGCGCTGAGAAGGGCGAGGAGGAGGAGGAGGAGGATGAGGAGGAGGAGGAGGAGGAGGAGGAAGAGGAACACCAGGAAATGGAAGATGAGGGGCGAGGGGGACCCCACAGCAGAAGATCGGAGGTGGCGGCGTGGATTCCTCTCGCTCCAGCGCCATCGCATTGCATTTCCCTCCCCCGCGCTATCTGGTCCCCCTCTCGTTCGGCTATCTAATCCTGCCCCATCTGCACTGCCGTCATCATCACCCCTTTCGCCCAGCTGGTGTGTGTGTGTGTTGATTGTATTTGCAGGGGGTCCCAGGTTACAAGAAAACGCTGGTCCAGTTCGCTTCCTTGACGTCTGATCTGGCGTCGGTGCCGTAGGGGTCACGGTCGCTGCGCTTGGTATGCCCGCGAGCCATTGTTATCCAAGTTGAACATTGGGGCCCAAACCACGCCGTGCCTCCAGGACATATAGAGGCCAGGATCCACATCATATACAAGCAGCCAGTTAGATGAACCACGTTCTGCCACTCATGATCCAGCATGTCGTATGTAAAAACCCGATGGCCTCGAGCACGCACAGCGCGAGCACAGCGTGCCACGCCCGAAAATATCTCAGCGAACGCTGTGGTGCGAGGTATAGCGTGCTCAGCGGAAATAGCACTCGCGATCTCACCCAGAAATTGCTGCTGGCCATCTACGAAACTGGCGGGCCCCCCTCGAGAGACG